TGGGTGGGTGTATGGGTGTGTGTGTGCATGGGTGGGTGGAAGGGGGAGGGCAGAACCCAACTTGTCAGAGAGTGAATCTTTTGGGAAAATCTCCCACTTGCTCGCAGGAAGCTTCCTTTAGCAATTGCCATCTTTAGTTGGGTGTATTCCTGGAGATTCCATCATGCAACCTCTCACCTCGAACTGCTCCTCCCCAGCAACCTCAGCCATGAGCTGTCCAACATGTCAACCTCATAGTGCCAACAGCCAATCTGAGATTGAAAAGACTCTATGACTGACGGTCAAGAATTCTCCAATTGTTTCACAAGCATCTTCCTCTGCAACCCCTGCCCCATTGCCAAATGCTTAAAGAGAATGAAAAACATAAAATTTAATATGTCTATGATTCCACTCCTTGGATGTTGCTCATTGCAGTGTCAAGTAGATTCTTTTTAAATCTGAAGATCCCAGGGCATTCCTGGAGAGTTGGTAACTGTATCCCACTGGAGTACAACTTTCACAACTTTCACCCATACAGCTGGATATTTTGGGAATATGTCCATTCTTTATCCGATTACAGCCTTAACCCAAAGAATCATTGACCAAAACAGCACAACAGAAGCACAAAGAGAGACTCCCTTCATTGGAACAGAAGGAGGCCATTCATTCCCTTCAGCATGGTCCATCATTCAATTAGCTCTTAATTCATTTGTACCTTCACATCTTCTATTCATCTTGGTTCTGTAATCCTTAATATACCAATCCAACCAAAACCTATTAAACTCAGTCAGTTTTGACATTTTACATAGTCTCCCATCCCTCCAGCTTTTTGGGGCTTAGCGTTCAGATTTCCACTTCCTTTCATGTGATTTACCACTTTCTGACAACACCATAGAACACTATACCTTCCAAGATTGATCAGAAATCTTGAGGATTTGAGGATTGTTCTCCAGAAAACTATAGCAAACAACACCTGGACAAAAATCATAGTGGCACTAAAAACATTGTGCTTTTTTCAAAATATTCTTTGAACACATTCATTCATGAATTATAAGGGTGTTGGAGATGAGGAACAAATCTGGCCTGACTGCATGGAGGCAATTAATGGTAATGATTCCTCCAAAGAATGTCTGCAGCTGGAGCTGCTAACCCAGCCCCTGAATGGCCTCACTCTAATTTCAAGGTTTGCTTCCACTGACCTCTTGTTCTGCCCTACCAATTGATTCAGGGTTCCATCTGTCAGAATATCCAGCAGTTTATTAAAGTACAACTCTACCAGGAGGTCAAGCCAACAAGATGTCACAGATGTTTTACAAAAGGGTTGAGTTTGGGGTTGGTTTTCAGATAAAGAAGAACTTGTGTGAACTTTGGAGTACGATGGCTAATTGAAGAAGGGGAAATTGATTGCGCACACATATGAAACAGAATAGACAATTAGATGCAGTGCATAAAGAAATCAAATGAAAGATTATCAGGAAATGTAGAGATGAAGTTGAAATCTGATCAACCATGGTCTTATTGAATGACAGAGCAGGCTCAAAGGGCCAAGTGGCCTATTCTTGTTTCCTGTTTGTGTATAAACGAAAGGACTTGCAATTATGTAGCACCTTGCATAACAGCAGAATGTTATCAATGAATTTCGTTTTTGATGCATAATCATTGTCATAATGTGGGAAATGCAACAGCCAATTTATACACAGCACAACCCCACAAAGAACAGTGTGATCACAACCAAAGAACCTGTTTTAGTGATGTCAATTGAGGGGTAAATATTGGTTAGGACATGAGGGATAACTTCCTCACCCTTTGTCAAAACAGTAATCATGGATGATAATGGAATAGTTTAGGTTAGATGGGCTTCAGATTGGTTTCACAGGTCGGCGCAACATCGAGGGCCGAAGGGCCTGTACTGCGCTGTAATGTTCTATGTTCTATGTTCTATGAATTTCTTTTCTTTCCACTTGAGAGGGCAGAAAGGGCCTTGGTTGAACAGTTCATCCAAAAGACGGTAGCTCCAACAGTGCACCCACTCCCTCTGCACAGCACAGAATGATCTGCCTCCATTATGTGGGGTCTGTCTGCGGTGGAGTTTTAGCCCATAACATTCTGGTTCAGAGCTGTGAATGCTATTCACCAGGCTACAGTTGACACCTCATTTCACATCACTTTAGAAGGACCAACAATTACAGTTCACCACCTCTCCATGAGTTCCACTTGGCCTGTATCCTTTAGTTGACTTTCTTCTCCAGTTCGTTCTTATTTCTGGGCACTCCCCTCAGGAAGAAGCTAGGGCATGTGACACAGCGAAATGCCAAGAGCTCAGCACCAACAGCAAAGAGGATGTTGGTGTACAGGAAGGACGAAACGACATTCTGGGGAACACGGTAGGTAAAGGAAGTACGCAGATGTAATGAAGCGCCAATGTGAGAAAACTGAGCCTGGAGGTGATGGAAGGAGAGAATGGAAAACATGTTAAAATATGTACAAATTGAGGCCTTTTCTCAGTCCTATCAAACCACACGCTGCCTTTCTACTGTGGCTTCAACTTAGTTAAAATGTTCCAAAGCATTTGCACAGGAGGCAAACAAATAAAGATGGATATTGAGCCCCATCAGAAGAGAGGAAGTTAGTTAACCTAAAGCTTACTCCAAAAGGTGGATTTTGGGCATTGGAGATAAAGGAGAGTGAGAGGTAGAGAGGGTTACAGAGGATGTTCCACAGCTTCGGTCCCAGGCAGCAGAACACACATCCACCAATAGCAAGGCGAATCAAAATCAGGGATTCACAAGAGTTCAAAATTAGAAGAGTACAGAGACCTCAGAAACTGTAGCACTGGAGGAGGTAACTGAGATAGGGAGGGGGTGTAGGGGCTGGAGGAGGTAACTGAGATAGGGAGGGGGTGTAGGGGCGGGGGGGAGATTACAGAGATAGGGAGGGGTGTAGGGGCGGGACAAAATTACAGAGATAGGGAGGGGTGTAGGGTCTGAACTAGATTACAGAGTTAGGGAGAGGTGTAGGGGCTAGTCGAGATTACAGAGATAGGGAGAGGTGTAGGGGCTGGACAAGATTACAGAGATAGGGAGGGGTTTAAGTGGCTGGAACAGGATATAGGGAGGAGGTGTAGGGTGCTGGAGATCACAGAGGTAGGGAGGAGGTGTAGGAGGGTACAGAGATAGGGAGGGGGTTTAGGGCCTGAAGTTGGTTATAGAGTAGGGAGGGGTGTAGGGGCTGGAGGAGGTGACAGAGAAAGAGAGCGAGTGTAGGGGGTGGTGGATTTTGCCGCATTAAGGAGGACCCAGGCTATGGAAGGATTTGAAAAAGGGATGAGAATTTTAGAATTGAGGCATTTCCAGATCAGGGGTCAGTGCCAACGAGCTAGCAGAAGGTCCGAGGTGCTAGGAGAGTATGATTGTGAAAGTTTGGATTTGTCTCCAGCAGAAGTCAAGTTTCTGTTGGTTGCAAGAAGAGAGGCTGGGCAGAAATAGGTGAGTTTACAAATAACAAATGGATGTAGATAAGCAATTTCTAAAGGAAGAACAAGCTGATCTTGATTCTAGATTGGAAGCTCCACTCAGAGACAACAGGAAGCCCAAAGATCTGTTTCAGCCATTTATATGAAAGGCCCATTTGTTCTATTTTCAGTGGCATGTCTTCAAAATAAAAAAATGACTCTCACTTTCTAATTTTAATCCTTGATTTTATCAGTCAGGACCTAGGTTTTTCCTTCCATTGCTTCTTTCCTAATCAGCCAGAACCTGGCCCTGGACTTCATCCCCTTCTGAAGCTTCACAATGGCACTAACTTAGAGACACAATCCCCGTGACTTACTTGGGCAATGGCTCCTGCAAACACCATGGTCAGATCAGGCATCCATTCACAGCCAGGTTGAAACAGGCCGTAAAGCGCCAGGCCAAAGAATGGCAGAAGGTAGAACATGTTGACTAACATCTGAAAGAGAGCAGACAACTTCAACCCTTAATTTTAAACATCTCCCAGCAGACACACACACACATCCTACAACTTTGAACCTACTGAAGGTGTGAACAATAAAGGTGTCAGCAAGGGTGTGAATGCGAAAGGGAGTGAGAGAAAATGAGAGAGAGTGTTTTTGATTTTGAGTGTGTGTACTGGTCAGTATAAGTGTGAATGAGAGAGATTGAGAGTGTGTGAGAGAGGGCTAGAGTGTGAATGTGTGTGTGTATTTGTGTGCACATGTGTGTAAGGATGTGATGTGTGTGTTTGTGGATGTGTATTGAGTGTGTGATTGTGTGTGCAAGTGTGTGCAAGTGACATATGTGAGTGTGCAAGTGTGTGTGTGTCAGTGCATGTGTGAGAGTGTGCAAGTGCTTTTGTTAGTGTACGAGTGTGAGCGTGCATGTGCAATTGTGTAAGACTCACCCGATTAGAGACTCTACCCACCCATTCAGTCTTCCCTCACATCCCATATTCATCCTGCCCTGCAACAACCAGCCACTTACCTGGATCTTGGGATACATCACTGGGTCCAGCAGGTAGGGCTCCTGATCATATGCATACGTTACACAGGTATCAAAGCGACACTCCAGGGCGATCTAAATCAGACAATTACAGATCACAACCAAGTCCCGACTGCACTAAACATACTCACGTGGGGGGTAACTTTAATTTAACTCACTCCACGGGTCACCTGTGGGGCAGATTTTTCATTCTGTCCAATATTGCTCTCTGCTGCTTGCAATGGAATGCAAAATCAGATGGGACATAACACCAGTATTACCTGAATCTGTCAGTTCCCCATGATCTGTTATGATTAAAACAGCTTCTGCAATCTGTTAGGAAATGGGGTGAACTGACTAATATGTGATAATGTGATGAAAGGCACTTGGTTTATATACATATCATTTTTATTTAGAGTTTGGATATCAAACTGGTGGCAAATGGACTTTTTTGTGAAGGTGCTTGGTATTTAACTAGGTCGGTCTTTGGACAACCATAAATTTAAGCTAGTACGTGTCAAACAGCAGATGACATTCGGCTTCCTGGGACACTAATGGGCATATGTTTATATCGTGGGGTTTCACAACAGGAGACAGAAAACAATTGAAACCAATTAGCTTGCTTTTGGGACAAGAATAATTAAGGATTGGTTTTAGAAAACCAAGAGAAGGAAAAGCGTTTGATCAGTTGGAAGGACATCTGACTGAAATCAGATAGAAGAATAATTTCTCCGAGAAAAAGGAATTTATTTGGAGCAGTTGAGGCCAGAAAACGTAGACCCAGAAGTAGGCTATTCAGCCCATTGAGCTCCATCATTCAATGAGATTGTGGCTGATCTGATAACTCTAATCTCTACTTTCCTGCCTTTTCCCCATAACCTTTGATTCCCCTCACTGATTAAAAATCTGTCTATCTCAGCCTTGAATATACTTAATGACCAGTCTCAACATCCCTCTGCAGTAAAGAATTCCACAGGCTCATTACCCTCAGAGAAGAAATACATCATCCTTAAATGGGCGATTCCTTACTCTGAGATTATGCATTCTAGTCCGATACTCTCCCCTAAGGGGAAAACAAACTTGTCGCATCTACCCTGTCAAGTCCCCTAGAATCCTGTATGTCTCAATCTTCTAAACTCCAATGAGTGCAAGCCCATCCAACTCACTCTCTCCTCCTAAGGCAATCCCTTCATTCCTGGGATCAATCTAGTGAGCCTTCCCTGCATAGATTCAAATGCCAGTATATCTTTCCTTAAATAGTGAGACCAAAACTGTTCACAGTATTCCATATGTATTTTAACTAGTGCCTTGTATTTTTAGCAAAATCTCTTTACTTTTATACTGCAGTCCTTTTGAAATGACGGCCAACATTCCCTTTGCTTTCTCTATTACCACTGAACTTGGACACTGGCTTTTTGTGATTCATGCACAATGACTCCCAGATCCCTCTGCTCTGCGGGTTTCTAGCAATAAGTGACCCTGGTGTAAGGAACTCAGTTGTGTGAGTGAAAGAAAAGGTTTCACAGCTCATAGGACAGAAAATGAGGGGGAGAAAAAAGTTAGGTCAAGCTTACAGATTGGGCAGAGAAGGAACAGTTCTGTTTTTGTTTGAGAAATTAATTGTAAAGTGTTGGTGTCGAAGAGTAAATAGGATTTTGTTTTGCTGTGTGTTTGAAATCTTTTAAACTGTGTTACATGTAAATTGTTCAATTTATTTTATATTATTTTTCTATCTTTTGTATAATAAAGTTCTGTTTTATTGTTAAAACCAGATTGCAGCATTGTGTGTTTGCATTTTGGCAAAAGACCACTGCATTAAATTAGCAAAAAATAACCCATCAAGCCAGATTTCATTCTGGAATCTGATCAGTCCAGTAGCAACATCAGCTGGGATCAGACATTATCAACAGGTTAAGAATTTCAGGATGTGCATGAGTGACCCTTCCTTAGAATTACTTTTAACTACCCTCTGAAGTAGCCTAGGGACCCACACGGTTCAAGGGGGAATGAGAGATGAACAACAGATGCTTGCTTTGCCAGTGATGCCCACATCCCATGTAAGATAGATTTTTAAAAATTAACCGAAACACCCCACAGCCCACACCACACCTAACACCACCCAATCCTGCTCCAAGATCCCAATCTATCCCTTCCTTGCTGAAGCTCCCTCTTGTTTGAGTAATTTTACACATGGAAGCCTGGAAAGTGATAACACAGTGTGGAGTTGGAGGAATACAGCAGGTCAGGAAGCATCAGTGGAGCAGGAAAGTTGACGTTTTGGGTCGGGACCCTTCTTCAGAAATGGGGGAGGGGGAGGGGGGCTGGGAAATAAAGAGAGGAGGGGTGAGACTGGGGAAGGTAGGTGCGATGGTGATAGGTGAGCGCAGGTAGGGAGTGGTGGGGATTGGTCAGTGAGGTGGGAAAAGCGGATAGGCGGGAGAGAAGATGGACAGGTTGTGTAGGGTCAAGGAGGCGAAGATGAGAGAGAGGGTTGGTCATGGGGTGAGGCTGGGGGTGGGGAGATTTTGAAACTGATAAAATCCGCATTTAGGCCATTGGGGCTGTCCATCTTCTCTCCCATCTATCCACCCCTCCCACTTCACTGACCAATCCCCACCACTCCCTACCTGCACTCACCTATCACCATCCCACCTACCTTTCCCAGCCCCAACCTCCTTCTCTATTTACTTCCTAGCTCCCTTCCCCCTCCCCATTTCTGAAGAAGGGTCAGACCCGAAACATCAACTTTACTGTTCCTCTGATGCTGCCTGGCCTGCTGTGTTCATCCAGCTTCACACTGTGTTATCTCTGACTCCAGCATCTGCAGTTCTTTCTGCAGTTCTTTCTGTCTATGGTCTGGAAAGTGAAACTGAACCTCAGACAGTGCGGCACTCCCTCAGTACTGACCCTCCGACAGTGCGGCACTCCCTCAGCACTGCATCTCAGACAGTGCAGCACTCCCTCAGCACTGACCCTCCGACAGTACAGCACTCCCTCAGTACTGACCCTCCGACAGTGCGGCACTCCCTCAGCACTGACCCTCCGACAGTGCGGCACTCCCTCAGCACTGACCCTCCGACAGTGCGGCGCTCCCTCAGCACTAGCCCTCCGACAGTGCGGCACTCCCTCAGCACTGAATCTCAGACAGTGCGGCAATCCCTCAGCACTGACTCTTCGACAGTGCGGCACTCCCTCAGCACTGACCCTCCGACAGTGCAGCACTCCATCAG